ATATCTCTATTAAACCAAGGAAAGAAAAGCAATTGTGATATTAGATAGTAGATTAGTAGATTTTTTAGAAGATCAGAATTAACCAATTTGAAATAAGTCTCGCCACGATTGCTAAATGCCAACTATCGAATCATGCCAACGGACGATAAAGAACTATTAGATGAATGTCTTGGTATATGCACCATCCAACTTTCGTGGGTTTGGTGGGCTCGCCCGTAGGTAAGGGGTTAAGAGCGACGGGACTTGTTTCAGAGGTCCCGGGTTCGATGCCCACTTCGAGCAGCCTGTTGTCAGGCAGTGACAACGATTTTTACTTGGAAATATAGATAACAATATGTTTCCAAGTGAAAATAGCCCTTACCCGGCAATGCTGCACCATTAAAAATACTCACCCTAATACAGAAATTGTAATAATAATATATCATGCAGAGATGTGACAACTGATTGGGTTGCCATCTGTCAAACAGACTAGTATTCAGTCAAAATCAGCACAACAGTTTATAGGACTATTCGGTTCTGATTGCTGTTAAAAAAATAATAAAAAAAATAAGTTTGGTGATTCAGTAGACTAAAAAAATAATAATTATTTCAAGAAGAGACAACACTGCCAAAAAACACGTATATTGATGGTTATCTAATATACATTGACAGTTATCCAATGTACCACCGAAGAAATAATGATAATGATAGTCAAACATTTACAATGCGACTGCCCAATATTACAAATTCTGTAATGACTGATATCAATTTCAGACTTCGCAGTTCTGCAAATTCAATGTATTTATGAAAGCAATGATCTGTATATATTTAAAGTACAAAACGTAAATGAAAATGATGATGTAATACAATGACAAATGGGTAATACATTATCAGCAACAAATCAACAAAGCATATGTTAGCAAAGGATATCCTTGAGTACCTTCAATTGGAAAAATTTGGAAAAATATTATCCAAAGAGCGTTTGAAGCTTTTAAACATGACACCAACTGATTTTTTTACGTTTCATCGAAATTATGGTACCTTAGGTAAATTATATTAAAATGCTCTATAAATATCACATAATCAGTACTTCGACAAGTTTTTTTTTTTAATTTTTATATTTATAAAATAATATATTAATATTTTCAATATTTCAACTTTGATGATGAGTTAAATCACAGTCTCGAAACATTTGTAACTTGAAAAATATATATAGTGATGTTCGTGTTCATACTAATATAATTAATATAATTTACGTTAAATTGAATGTACAATATATTGATAAATC